CCTATGGGGCAGTTCTACTCTGTCCTACAGAATTGACTTGACAGCAACAGGTATGGAGGTGGTACAGTCCCCAGGTGGTACACAAACAGTTAACATGCTCAACTGTTAACCAAAGAGTTGGTAGTTCCGGTCCACTGGAGGCATCTTGGAAGAAAGCCCTGGAGGTCTACTTCTGAGAAATCAGCCATTGAAGACCCCATGGGGTTCTGCTCTGACCCACATGGAGGTGCCAGGAGTCTGAGCTGACTCAACAGTGGCTGGTTAGAGATGGACATGCTGGAAGGTGTTTCAAAAGATTCATGGCTTCTGAATCTGGAATAAAAGTGCCACAAGGGAACATCTGTCAAGGAGAGATGGGACATCCCTAATCCTGGGGGCACAGCAAGGGCACCCAGCCTTGCCCTTCCCCCAGAGTGCTCAATGACCCCTTCCAAGATCAGACCCTGGGTGACCAAAGTTCACTGAGCAGACTTACATTGCTCAAATCAGCTGGGCACTGAACCCCGGATATGTTCAATCAGCTCTGAGGAACATGGGAGAGTCAACTTGCCCATCGAGAGAGAAGCTAGCCTGGAATGTTCCGGCACCTGACTGCTTCTCAGATCTACAAGTTCAGTGCCTAGGAGCAGTCTCTCCAAAGATGCCTGGCCCCAACTAAGACAAATAATAATAATAATAATAATAATAATAATAATAATAACTTCGGTCCCCAAGAACAATGATATCTCAGGAATTCCCTGGTTAGTGTTAACTCCTGATTCTGCCAAATTCAGATTCAATGCCATTCCACTCTAGGCTCAACTAGGTAAAAAGTATTGGAAGGGGTGTGTGGGCCCTGAAGACACATTGTCTAGGTTCACCTCCCTGCTCTGACACTCACCAGCTCTGTAACCTCGGGCAGCCTCTATGACTCAGTTTCCTCATCTGTCAAACCTGGACGGTAACAATACAAACTTCATAGGATTGTTGTAAACTTAAACATGCTAACTTGTGTAAAGTGCTTAGATGGGTAATTGGCAAATAGCAAGTGCTCAATAAAGGTTAGCTGTTATTACTATTCTTGTCCCCCTTGTTTTCAATGCTCTGCTTTCATTTAATGCCTCTTTCCTGATGTAAATGCATTTTACATTTCACCACGGCTCCCAGTCAGTGAAAACTCTCTGGATCACAGTGGTCTGATTCCATTAGTCATCAAAGAACGCTCAGTCCATGGACACCTCTGCTATCAAAAAAGGCATTAATACTCCAACAACAACTGCAATAATAACAATGATAGATACCATGTACTAAGCACCTACTACCTGCCAGGTTTATGTAATTTTCCCTGCCATTCATTGAGGTAG